GTTACTTGTCAGTGTCATTTCTAGATAGGATAGACATATGTTGGAAGATTATTTATTATTACTTTTTTCAATATTAAAAATCAACTAGTATTTTGTACTACAGTCAAGCTGAATGCTAACTGGATGGTTGTTGGAACACTTTTTAGGTTCGATCAGTTTATGAATCCATTGGTTGACTAACATAGTATAGGTGAATGGCAATGAGAAAACTCATATAGGGTTGTGCTCGACACAATTCTTAACCAATGTTCTAAAATCCGGATCGAACCGACCGGTCCAACCGGGAACCAACCCCTTCTCTAGTCTAGAGACACTCAAAACCCGGTTTTAGCTTATGGCCTAGATTGGACTGGCATTATAGTGATGAACAATCGGTCCAACCGATCAGATAGCTTAATTAAGTCACCAAACCCCTAATTACGACAACTTCTGATGCCAACCATCCCACCTGACATGACCATCAACATCACCTTCATCTTCACATCAAAACCCCCATCATCTTGAATTTTCATTGGCCACCACTTGTTGTCGTTGCCACCTATTTGCTTTGTAAAAACCAATTGTCTTCCTCCCTGATTTTGGCAGCTTCTGGCACCAACCATCACATCTGACACCACCATCAACATCACATTCAACTCCACATCAAAACCCCTATGATCCCAAACACCAATTGGTCGCTGATCATTGTCGCCACCACTCGGTTGCTTTGCGGTTTCTTGCCTAGATCGTAGGGGTGTGTTTTGTTAGATTTCAAACCTATAAAGATTGATGTGTAATTTTATAATGGTGTGCTTGCTAGATTTCAAACCTGTTGGACATGTTGACATCATCGATCCAACCGAATGGTCTAACCGATCAGATCAGGCAACCTGGAAACCAGCCCCTTGACTAAGCAAGGGGCAATTTGAGTTTCGGAATATTGTCTTCAACTCAACGTGGCTATTTCTATACCACTCACCATAACTTTACATTCTACATTCAATTCATCTATTTATTTTTATAAGTTCATGTTTAACATTGCAAAATTGACATTATTATATATCGAGACACATATATCATATTAAAATCTTCATGTTCTTTCTGATATCTCACAGAAGATTGCGTCCCCAACATTATAGTCATTTCTTCAAGTTCCCACATGAAAAATTAAAAAGCTTGAAAACAATATTATTTTAAAATTAAATTAGGGAAAAATTAGTTCATCAAATATCCAAGTTAATGAAACTAGATTTCAAATGGCTTCAAGGGCTATGAACATAAAATTCAGCTTTTTTAAGAGACCCCATTTGCAGCAATGTCAAGTCATTTTCATTCTACTTTTTGTAAGATGATAATTAAAAATCATAATGTTTTTTACTTTTATGGACCATTCCTTTATAAGCCACTCTCTTTATAGCTTTGCTTCCTAGTAGTTCATAGCTTTAATACCTTTCCTAGCTCTTCACCTAATTTCAATTCCTTCCATCATTCAACTTTTGGCTATTTTTGACACCCATGCTTGCATTTTTTAGGATAAGGATTTTCCTAGAATGTCTATTTGTTGTTAGTATTAGATTACTATATTAGCATGATGAGATTTTCATTTAAAATTAATCATATATGCTTACTTATTTAATAGATTTCCTTTTCAATATTAACTATGATTGTTATTATGGTTTTTTGACAGCCGCCCTTAAGGTGAGTGGTTAAAACCAATTATCACTAGGGGTAAAAGTCAAGCTAAGCCTCTCGCGAACAGCTTAATAATTGCTTGGACTTGACTTGACAATAGTCTAATCGAGCTCGAGCTCAACTATTGTCACGAGTCGAGTTTGATCATAGTATAACTCGACTCAAAAAGTTTGCGAGCTCGAGGATGTAGTTTTTAAAGTTATAGGGGTTATATGAAATCTATAAGTTTTTAAAATTGCGAAATCCACCCATATTCAAATAATCTAAAATCGATTTGGGAATTTTGGGGATTAAGAAATTAGAATCTCCTTCGCCTTCATACTTTGTCATTCACTGGTTGTTGTTTCCTATCTCTCCTTCGCCCTTTTCTTCCCCCTCCTTCGCTGGTCGCCATTCTGCTTCATCTCGTCTCAGCCTCTCAAGTACTGTGAAAACGTATTGTAGCTTGCTTAAATTCTTTAACTTTCTTTATTCTTATTATTTGAAAACAAACTATTGAATGATTGAGATTTGCCAATTGGTTGTTGGCTGAGGGGATCCATTATTATTGTTTGATGCCTTCATCTTTTTTTTTTTTTTTTTTTTTTTTTGGACGGGTGGCTATGTTGCTCTTACGGGATGTTTGTGGGGCTGGTTTTCCGTGTGGGGATGGTTGTGTAGTGTGGTTTTTTTTTTATGCGTGGTTGTGGTTGTGGGGATGTTTGTGGCTTTAGAGTTCAAGTTTGCGGTACCGAGCTCGAGTTCGAGCTTGATTCCTTAGGCTTGACTGAGTTTGAGCTCTAACTCGAACTTTGTACTATAGCATCCTAGCCGAGCTTGAGTAGCCAAATACTCGGCTTGGCTCGGCTCGATTACACCCTTTCTTATCACTATCGGAAAAAACACTATGCATCAGCGTCGGGATCTCATATCGGTATATACAATTGTAATATGTTAACGCCTTTGTGGCGTCAGGGTAATGGCATTCCTTCAACATAGATAAATTGCTTTAGTGGAATACTAATTTTATTCCATAGGCCGATGTCATGCATGGATAATATTTTTGAATACTCTTTCAGGAAGATTATTAAGTGGATTCAACATTAATGAAGAGGTGCTCAATTCCCCAAACTACTTGGTACGTCTGTAGGTATTTCATGATTTTCTTAAAACAATGATCATACTTTTAAGATTGGGGAGAGAATTAATTTAGCCGTAACATCGAAGATGCATACAACATCTGTACGCATAGCTTTCATATTCAATAGTGGAGATATACAATTGTAATATGTTTAAACCCCATTATAATATGTTTTGAGGGGCAGCAAAAATACGTTACATAGAACTCATTAAAAACTCTTGTAAAAACAAATCACTTAGTTTATATATTCAACAATAATACTATACTTACAAATAAATCTTACAAATATTTACATACAAAGTGAAGTGACAAAAATTGAATGGAAAAGTGAAACAAAAAGCTTTATATTCAATAACATAACAGTGACATAGGTTTTGCATGATAACTAGTTGAACCACTTTAAAAAAATATGTTTTGTTCTTCAATATTTTATGTTAATTACCGCACATTCATCATCCTATTATCCCATCGTTGATCCATCATGATTACCACACATCTTACGAGATTCTAACATTATCAATCACGTACCCCTAATTGGTGTAAATCTTTGCATCAATAACAATCAATTTTAACTAAATGATTTTACTATATCACCACAATGATTTAGTAAAATTGACTCATGTAAAATTTTCTAATTCATCTTACCTTCAAGTTCATTGAATCGCTCCATACCCATGTTCAATAAATGATGTCTCAATTTAAGTCATTTAATACAACTTTCATTTCTTTTCCCAAAACAGAAAAAAAAAAGATATACACATATATATGTTGGAGCAATAATGTTATGCTTACTCATGAGTTTATTAACCACCTTATTACCTTTGTTAAAATTACATATGGTATCCGTACTATGCGTATAGTATCCGTACTATACGTTATATTTACAAAAGATAGTAAAATAGTTAGTAAGATCGTGAGTAAGCATAACATTACTCTATATTGGAGATTACAATGTCCCTACCACTAGATTGGATTGTCACACCAAATCTGATAAGGTGTAACTTTAATTCCCTAATATATAATCAAAAACAATATATAAAACAAACATTCATATCTTTTTTGCTAAAGGTTAAATGTCAGTGTACAATTTGCTACTAATCTTTTGAGGTTGAGGTGTAGTCCTTTTGGGTCGGATTCAAAACATGATTAATTAACCAAATTAATTTAATTTATTCTAACTTAATTCACCTAATTTTAAAATTTCATTACTAATCATCTTATTGTTACTTTTGTAAAATATTTTTTTTAAGGAATGATACTAAACATGTTTTTTTATTTTTTTAAAAGAAAATATAAAATTAAGTTTTTTATCATCATTTTTGGCACTAATTTTTTTTTAAACAAATTTGCAAGATAATATTGAATTTTTTGATATTGTATTAGGATATCATATGGTGGGTTTATTTCATTTACCCCTTATGTGTTCGTTACGCTAATTACAATAATTAGAAAGTATTATATACCTTTATCATTTAGGTTAATATTTTGAAACGCCCAACAAGTTTAGAAATATAATGAAATGCCCCCATTATTGATAAATATTCTCATTAATTTGACTAGTAATATTTCTAAGAATAATACTTACGATTTTAGAAATTCACTTAAGCATTAGGCAATCATTTTTCATTAGATTTAAAAAAAAAAAAAAAATAAAGGATATTTTTTAAAATTAACGGGAAAAAAAAAACTTAAAATAAGATTGCTGGTGATATTTCTAAAATTTGAAATGATGAATATTTTAGATTAACCCAAACTTCAATCAACTATGTTGATAATATTTAACTTCAAAAAAATGATGCTTTTCATTGAAAGTACAATTAGATGATTAAGATGATTCCTTGTATAGAAATTATTGAATCCTAAAATAACAAAAATGTTGTTATATCTCTCTCTTCTAGGATATCATGTTCCATGCATGTGAAAGACAATTATATCAAAGTACACAAATTTAGATTAATAATCCACACGACAACAAAGAGTTACAAGGCCGATAGACAGTTTAAAAGGAACTATAAAACAATTAAGGTTTCAAAATTAATCATATAAACATAATTTAATTAATTACATCTAATTAACTATCATACTTGAATCTAAAACTACATTATTAAAATTGCAATGAATCGAAAGTCAATACACTTAAGAATCACATCATATATTATTATTAATTTATGTAAAATACATTTCTTGAATTCCAATACAAATTATTCATCTCTCAATCTGGCACAAAAATCAACAAATCTTAAATTAAGCTGCAGAATTGAAATAAATTACACTTACAAGAAACTTCGAATCTCTTCATGCCAGACCATTTCCAATTTTCGCTTTGAATCTTTTTCTTTTTGGAACAGTCAAACTCCATTTTTCTTCTAAGAAATCACAATTAATTGTATCCACTGGTCAGAAGTCATCTTCAACCTGCACCCACATGACTCCTGAAACATACCATTTTAACACATTTTCATGTGACTCTTCACCTATATATTTAACTCAATTCTCAATCTCATATAAGTCCTGGTATATATAGATCTTGCACATCACCCCCAGCGACCATATTGCATCGAGACAATTTCACACAACAAATTGCTAAAATCCGAGGAACTGTTTTGATACCAACTCAATAACGTTATCATCATTTGATAAAAAAAGTATCATCCATGTTTTTAACAATAGTTAATTATCTGCACCCCAGATACTGAATTACCGATTTTTAACTCCCACCTGAAGCCCTCCCCTTAGCATAGCAGTGAGCCCAGGATCAAATTGAGGTGCAGCCCCAGGAGAAACAAGTTCAAAATCAAATTTGCGAAGCACGGAGAGGGCAACCATTTTCATCTCCACCAATGCCAATTCCTTGCCCAAACAAACCCTAGACCCGGCTTGAAAAACTGGATATTTATAAGGACATTGAGGACAAAATGTACCACAATTCAGCCACCTTTCAGGCCTAAATTCCATACAATTTTGACCCCAAATTTTTTCAATCCGCCGCATTGCATAAGGATGATATGTAACCCTAGTTCCCTTCTTGACAAACATTCCATCCGCTAGAACATCGTCGTTTAGAGCGAATTTCGAGTCAAATTGTACCGGTGGATACAGTCTCATACTCTCATACACTGCAGCATGTAAATAGTGCATTTCCCTGATTTGATTATAGCTGGCAAGGTCTTGATTTGGCGGTATGAATTTCTCTGATTCGTCCCGAATTTTCAACATGACCTGTGGATGATGTGCTAGTAGCAGGAAGAATGTTGTCAATGCTGAGGCCATTGTGTCACGCCCTGCCAAAATAAAGCTTATAACAATGTCCCTCAAGTGGTTGTCATCGTTGATGCAAGTCATGAATCTTGACAAAAGATCTTTCTGTGTGGAAAATCCTAGTTTCCTTTTCCGCATAATCACCTCCATGGCAAGAATATTCAGAGTCTTAATCGCCTGTTTGAGTTTTTTCTCCGTGCCAACGTTTAACAGCCTCTTGATCTTCCACACTAATGGCAATGCCACCATTGCTCTCTCGGCGGATAATTTCGATGCAAGATCAAAGGAATTCGCAAACACAGAAATTGGCAATGAGGATTCGAGATAACAAGGGTCTAAACCGAAGGAAAACTTGCAAATATTATCGAACGAAAATCGTCGAAAAACTTCTTGTAAATCCACAACATTGCTACTATCTTTTACAGCAATTGATGATAAAAATGGAAGCAGTCGAGATTTGATCTCGTTGGTGACAATTTCAAACGCATAAGTTCGAATGGAAAAGCTAGCGAGTTCCGAACTGGCAACTTTTCTCTGAAAATGCCATAACTCTCCATCAACATTGAAAATTCCCTTTCCGAGAAGATCACCAACAATCATGGAGAATGGTTTCCCTTTCGGATAGTTTTCGAATCTGGATTTGAGAATGTGTTGGACATTTTCAGGATTCGCGGTGATTGTGTTGTCAAGAACATGAATCCGAATGGTTTGAGATGGAGATTTCTGAAGAAGATGAGTGTACCAGTCACAAAGATTGTTGAAATCTTTGGACCAGGATGATGAAAGATATGCATAGCAAATTTCACAATTGCATAAAACCTTCCTCCTCCGTAAATGGAGTAACAGGAAGAAGATAAACAGATAGAGTGTTAAAACTAATGAGAAAAACACAAAACAAACACGAGTTTGAAGAAGAGACTCCATTATTGATGAAACAGGGAACATGTAGGTTAAGAGGGTGAATGCCCTTTAATTTATAGGGAAATAATTTAAAATTGAGAATATTTGATATATTTGTGTTTTTTGGAAACATTTTGTAATGCGTTAAAAGAGAATAAACTGGAAACCATAGACAGCAACTAGTGAAAGCAACAGAGGAATTAATGGCGTCAGTGCAGTAAAAAACAGTTGCACGACCTGTAGACGGTGGTGATCTACTAGTCATCAATAACTTTCATGACCTAGAAGTCATCTGACGTTCCAACTTAATTAATATAATTATTAACATATACTTCAATTCTAATTTTACGTCGAGAAAGCCTATCAGACACAGAAATTGCGTTTTCCGATGCTGGGTTTGCGTTAGCGCAAGCCTTAATTCCAGTAATGATCTCAATTGCAAATACAAAGTATAGGATATAATATTAGCATTTAAGTGTGAGATATTTGATTATAATGTTAAGAAATTAAAAGAAAAATTAATACCTAATTAAGTTGGGAAAGGATGATAATTTGGTTATGCGACCGAGAGGATGAAAAAAAATCCAGTGAAACAGTACATATTGTGTAAGGATTTAAACGTGTTCAATTTGCTATGGCTAGAAAGCCAGACAATTTCAATTTAATGCGGTAATCATTTGATTCTTAATAGTATTGTTGACAGAAATGAAACAACTTTTAAAAAACACATTTAAGAAAGATAATGTTTTTTTTGTTAATGAACAGGGTATTTGGTTAGCTTATACATACTTTTAACTAATCTTTAGGGATCTTAAAACTATCGATTAGAAAAAAAAATTTAGTAACTATCTCTATTAGTAATCGAAGAGGAACTCAAACTCAAGACTTTTTCAGTAATACACTCAAGAATTTCTATCGAACCACTAGAGTACTCAAAAATAGTTGACGTAATATTTTTTCCTACTATTTGTTATAAAAATATAATCTGTTTTAATTAATACTAAGTTACGAAAATAACTGAAGCACGTTTCAACCTTGGAACACCACTATTTTTATATGTAAATTATACTTAATAGAACACGATGAAGATGAATTTGATTAATTTAGTTTTGGTGAAAAGAGAAGAAGATATTTATAATGGGATGGCATCCACCACGTTTAGTGCGGAATCTGAGACCACAAATTTAATTGATAATCAAACGTCAATCTATACGTCATCCAATTCAATTTAATCAAATATACAAGCCACATGCATTTGTTTTCTCTAATTAAATCTTACTTTCTTAATTCCATTAACTCTCTATAAATTTCTTAATTTCATCGTGTAACATTATTTAATAATATTTATACACAAAAATCTCAAGTGTGATTTGTTCTTATTTTTTAAAATCTAAATTTATACTAAACTAATGAAGATGATAACTGAATTAATAATTCAATTAATTATATGATGAGTGCCATATCATATTATAACAATGTGGATGTTTTTATCATATTTCAAAAAATCAAACAACTGACACGTCATCTTCATTAGAAGAAAACTGACAATGGAACCAAAGGCCGCCAGAAATTTGCTCATGAATTATCAAGTGGATGTGAAACACGTTATGAAGTAGACATTGATGGTAATGTGTTTAAATTTTGTGATATACCTACAAATATTGTTAGTTGTAATGTCTCAATAATTCATAATGGAATTTATGATCGATACGTCCAAAAAATATAAATCTGTGGCGGACTATGATTCTCTTATGATCTAATCTTATTTCTATTATATTCTCAATAGATATGCAAATGAATAGTTTCTGATCACTAATTAGAGGAAAACTAAACCTAACTCAAAACTATACCCTACTAATTTATTGATGTAATTAATAAACTTGATTAAATGTATATAATTAGAATACATCTTAATTTTTCTAAAAGTAATGATGAATACATAAAAGGCTTTAAATATAAGAATATTTAAAAGTCATCTGAGCAATATCTATTGGTTGCTAATGTATTTAATATTGGCCGTATTAAGTTCATCACATTTCATTCAAGATCTAAGAACTGCATTAAAAGTCAACTGAATTAAACTAATCCACCAAACTCAATTAACAAAACAAAGTTATTATATATTAAAAAATAAATGACTTTTTCCCACCCAAGCTTTGCGTTAATGGACTTTTCCACACAAAAAAAGTTTTAAAATATCACTTTCCCACTAAAATGCCCAATATCGATTTCAGTCGATTCCAATGACAAAAATTCTTTCTGTCGCCATCATTTGAACCTCGGGTCTCTTCTTTGCAAAACCCTTCTCATTCTAACACTTGATTTCTCGTTGATTGTCGACCACTACAAAACTAAAGTTTCTTGTCTGTAACTGATTTTTGGTTGATTCCAGTAACGAATATTCAATCGGTAACTATCATTCGATCCACTTGTCTCTACTTTATAAAACCTCTCTTATTTTAACTTCTAATAATTCGTTGAACGTTGGCTGAAAAAGTGAAATATATTTTGAATATTAACTAAATATAAATTTTAGGAGAGAAAGTGGTATTTTAAAACTTTTTTTTTGGTAAGAAAGTCTTATTAAGGCCAACCTTGCGCGGGAAAAAGTGATTTACTCTATATTAAACTAATTAACTTCCATTGTTGATTTGTTGTAAGCAATTGAAAAAAAAAAAAAAAAACGTCTATCCAGCTCATTCTAACCATTCCATGACGTGGAATTATTAATTTAAATACCGACAAATAAAAAATATTAATTTTAAGATCAAACATGGAGATTTGTGTCAGATATTTTATGAAAGTCGGTTGTTTGTAGTAATTTTCTTAAACATGCAGTAAGTTTTTGGGTATAAGATATTAGAGTTAGATTAAATGGTTTGTTAATCTATTGAATTATTCAAATATTTTTAATCAATTTCAAAAGTTCATCCGATGACACTTGTTAGATCTTAAATATCTACTAATTGATAGTATTATCAATGGCAAAGTTTTAAGAAAAGAAGGAGATCTCTAACCTGACACTTGACATTTTATTTTTATTTTTATTTTATACTTTAAAATTCATTGAATTCTTTTACCAAAGAAATTAAAGAAATATTAGATCTCTAATAAAAATCACGAAAAAGAAAAGTCACCTTGTAAGAACAGTGTTAAAATTAAATCTAAATACAAGAGAGCCATTAACCCACTTCAAGAATTGAATAATTGATGTGATTAAATATTAGTGGTTTTTTTCATTTAATATTCTTTTACTCGTAATAATTTCTATGAAAAAACTTGCACTTGACTTCTCTGTTGGTCAATTATATGCTATTTACCTACCTTAACTTGTTTGGTGTAATTAACATATGGGACCAAGATGTATATAAAATTTAACGATTTATTATAGTCAAGCTAATTGCAATTGCTTTACAAGATATCAATTAAATAACAATTTTTACCTGTAGAATATTTTTGTCAAACATATGCTGTATGTGTGCACAAGTTGCCAAACTTTATGAACTAACCTTTTGATATTTTATTTGCTTATGCTATGAAATTTTCAGAGAGTTTATTCCTTAGAGGTTCACCTTATGTTATTGTGCCAAACTTTCATTATCTCATATATATATTTACTTGTTGATTGGCAGTTGGAACTTGATTTCATTGTTGATGCTGGAGCGTAGCTTTGGCGTGTGAAGCTTGGGTGGAGCTCAAGTGTTCTTCGAGTGTGTCCCAATGTGAAGAGGTCCTTGGAGCAACAAGACATTAGAGATTCAGAGAGTGGTGTTTAGTGTAACTAAAACATGGAGTTTTTTTTGTTGTAGCTAAAATCAACTTTGAACTATATTTTATAATGTTTGTTGTTTAGTGGATTTGCTTTGATTTGGACGAGGTGTCACGGATGTAAGCTAAGAGTGGTTTTAGCCGAACCATGTATATGATGGTGTACTTTACTTTTATTGCTTATGGATGTTGATTTATGATTAACTTGATAACCATTAATCAACTCGGTAAAAACTTCCATTACACTTGAAAAATAGGTACCTAAACGTTAACTAGAGTTCACCAACTCTAACACATCCTTATTCCATGAATTAGAGTTTTAGTGTACAGTTTAATAGATCAAATATAAAATGTATTAATTTAGATGACGAAAACCTTTAATAAACAATAACAACAGAATAAATTGTTATTTCAAATATGGGAGCAGAGGAACTGTTAATGAATGATACTTCGAGGGAGAATTATAATTAATTATTATTACATATTGGTCTCCTCCTAACCAATTTTAGAGTATAAGTTAATATTAATCATACCATTTCATTTTAAGTTACTTTTATTCCATAATTAAAATATACAATAATGAATTTAATAACATCACAAATTTTGATACATGAAATAAAATCTTAATTTTAAATCATGGGATGCTAACTTTAATCAATCTAATAAAGGAAAAAAAAAATATAAATTTTTAATAAATGTACACTTCGAGGGCGAGGTCCTCGAGGTTCGAGAATTTCATAGGCCTCATCCTCGACCCCATCCTCGACTATTTCAGGAAATCTTCACCATTCGAGAAGGGCGGGTTAAACACCCATCCCTATGTGATACGAGAGTTATCCACAGATGTCATATATATTATCAAATTTATAATGCAATGAAGTGTAACATTGTTCTTTTATGTGTAATTTATTTTTTGACATTTAGGTCATTTTCTGTTTCTTAGAGAGAAGTCAAAGATCAAATGAGAAAGTTGGGTCATGTTGAATGGAAATTTATCTTTTTTTTTTTTTTTTTTTTCCCTTGAGAATTGACAAAACAACCAACTTTATAATTGTATCTTTCTCTTCTACTAATAAGGTCGCATAATTTTATGATTTTGACAATTTGATGTTTTTCAAATTTCATTTTTAACGACATGATCTAGCCATAAACATGATGTTATATGCATTTTATAAATGCTCTCCACACCATTTCCAGTAAAACAAAATAGACCATTTTTCTTGAGGATTTTTTTTTTTTTTTTCCGATTCTTTTTCTATAAGGATCCTCGTAAATATGTCACAAATAGTTATTACGAAAATCATAAAATAATCCCACACTCATTTTGAAATACATTTAATTAAAAAATTTGAAATTAAATATGCTCAATAATTTCAAAGCACCATAGATAAAACTCTATATGCCATTCTAAATCAATGAAATAATACGACAAATTTTTTTTTTTTTCAATTTCCATAAGCTATGTGACACACTAACTAATGTGGTACTTGTTAGAAACTTTTTGAAGGTTAGTATTATGCAATTTTTTTTTGAAAAAATCAATTATTAATTTACCATTCATAAATAGAGATTAATTTTTAAATTACTAGTTCTAATGATAGTAGTGGTGTAAAACATTGTTGGATGCCCATTCATTTGATAAATTCAATTGGGTCTAATTTAAAGGAATTCGGCACATTTTTGAATGCTATCGAAGTATGACAAAACACAGTTGAATCAACAAATTAAATTGGATTGCCAAAACCTTTGCTTTTACTAATTAAATTTGTCTATAGTGTTCACAGGGATTAGGTATAGTATTTGTATATATGGTTTTAATGTTTGAAAACAATCTTTATTCAGCAATATCGTTAAAAAATTTATAATTTTTGAGAGGTATCCCAATACTACAATTTATCAAACAATGTGTGTGAAAGCTAAACAAGAATCCCAATCATTAAGCAAGGTCTAAAGTCGAGGATGCAGACAACTAACAATATAAAAGAATAAATAACACAACCACAAACAACACAACAATATAAAAGAGCAAACAACATAAAGATATAATTTGCTATATCGCCTATATCATGGGTAGTGATATGTTGGTTTTATTACATAAGGAAAAAAAGAAAAAAGAATATTATAAAACACTTCCACACCCATCACAATAGCCAAATATTTCAGGTTTACTCAAAATCTCAACCAAATCTAATCCTAGAGAGTTATTTATATAAGAACACAAACCCTAGTTTCTCCACAATAAGCTTTTTCTATTGAGAAGTATACCTGATTTGAGCCCATGTAAATTTGGGCTTTCAACTCTTATTAGACTAAAATGTTGTTAGACTATCCATTATCACTAACCCATACTTTTGACCCAAATATTAAGCCCTGTATCCAGAAAAATCTCGTTAAAATACATCAATTAATAAGGAAGTTGTGAGATGTAGATTTATAGAGGTAGGTGGTTGATATAATTTATTGATAGAAGAGGTAAGTGAAAGGTTAGTGCATAGAAATTTCCTTTGAGCACTACATTGTTTTTTTTTTAAAACCAAGGTGTTCGGACTAATTTTTACGCATCTCAACTAATCCTTAAATGAGACTATCACAACAATCCATCGCCACGATCCTCCACTTAAATCGTGGATGCTCAAATGGGGAATTGAATCTGAAACCGTTCACCTATTCACACTATCCAATTCACCCTAACTATTTGGGCTATCTAGGGATGGGTCTTTGAGCACTACAGACCAACTCTTACTGACCAACTCCTTCAATAAATTACATTAAACCGCATTTCTTTATAAATTCACATCTTACAACTCTTAGTAGTTGAAATATTTTTACACGATTTTTCTAGATACAAAACTTAATATCTGAGGTAAAAATATGAGCTAATGATAATGGATTAGACTAGTATCATATGGGTTTAATATAAAAGACAAACCCAAAAAAGAATTGGGCTAAATTAAATTTAATATTCAAAACCCTGCTTCAACTTAATGCGGAGTAAAAACAATAATAGGGTTAATTGATTGGACTATCTTCAAGCAGACGTAGAGCTTGTTTGGCCGTGTTTATAAACAGTTAGTGCTTATAAAGTACTTTGAGCTTATAAGTATTTGAAATTTAAATAATTACTTGTTTGGTTAAAGTATTTATAAATGATTGATAAATATATTTTATTATTAAAATAAATATTATTTTATGAAATAATAAATAAGAATATATAATTAAATTTTAAAATTAAATAGAGATAATGTAATAATATACTTAATCAAAGTAGTTTCTAAACCGAATGCTTGAGGTATAAGGTTTAGGGTATAAGCCAAAAAAAAAATAAAAAATTAGGCTCTACCAACTTATTTTTTGGCTTATAAGCCTCCAAAAAAATATAAACAAACACATAGAGTCAATTTATCTGACAAAATTCCATAACTGCTGCAAAATTACTCCAGCTATCACAACTCCTTTCCTGCTACAAAATTACTTCATCTGACAAAATTCCATCACAACTCCACCACTACTGCAAAATTACTCCAGCTGACAAAATTACTTAAACTGTCACAACTTCCTCACTGCTGCATCACTTCTAAAATCAATAATGTTACGGACGTGAATTTTTTTTCCGAAATTTTTTATCAAACGACATGACATCTAGTCAGACGTAGATAATAAGTCTCTCATAAATGGATGATCGTCCAATAATCATAGAAGACCGTCCATACTTTATGGATAACCGTTCATCATAAATGGACTCTCATCCATATTTTATAGATGTGTGTCCATTTACTATAGACGAGCATCTATACCGTATAAAAAAATTTAAAAACAAAATGATTGATACTTATCTATTTAATACGGACTAGTGGTCATATACAATGGACGGCTGTCCATATGCAATGGACGACCGTCCAAATCATCATTATGTTTATACATTTGCATAGACTTTTCCTTCAGATTTCGACGCATTATTGTCACAAAGGCTACCCACTGGCTCCATATTTCTTATCAATTTTTGTGTGGTCATTGTTATTAGTGAAATTTAATTGGTAAGTCAAGGCCAAAACAAGACCTTCTGTTTAATTTAACCTCTAAAAATAAGTTTTGAATTTACATTTATTTTGAAACACTTTTTTATCTGCCAGAGGAACTCCGTATCTAGACACTGGCTTGTGTTGTGGCACAAGAATGGTGACGCTTTCCAGATGACGTATTATATTGGAACAAATCTCAAATGTGGGTTAAATAACTATGGACGGTTGTCCATTGCATATGGACGACCGTCCATTGTATATAGATATCCATCCGTATTAGATGGACGGGCATCAATCATTTTGGTTTTAAAATTTTTTGAACGGGTGTCCATCTTATATGGACATCTGTCTATAGTAAATGAACACCCGTCCATATAATATGGACGGGGTCTATTGATATTTTTGTAGACGTTCGTCCATTCGTGATGAACGGTCGTCCATAAAGTATGGACGGTCGTCCGTGATTGTCCATTCACTGGAGATGTTTCTGTTCAACGTGTTCACGTCTTACTGGATGCCATGTCGTTCGGTAAAAAATTTCGGTGCAAAGAGTCGGTTGACCCTAGCATTATTCCTTCTAAAACGAATACAATTGCTGTTACCAATTATAAATACCAACACATAAACTACCCCAGTCACCATTTGAAGCTGAATATCGTAAAACCTTATTGCAGACTACTATTTCAAAAACAGCAACAACAGACAACACCAGACTACAAATTACTACTTCATCTTGCATAATACCTCATTTTAGACTACTATTAAGCAACACCAAACTACAAACTACTACTTCATCCTGCATAACACCTCATTTCAGACTACAAACTTCAGCAACACCAGACTATAAACTACTACTTCAACCTGCGTAACACCTCATTTCAGACTACTATTCAGCAACACCAGGCTACAAACTTCAGCAACACCAGACTACAAACTACTACTTCAACCTGCATAACACCTCATTTCAATACATGGAATTTAGCAACAGAACAAGAAGACATGTTATAGACTAGTAGAAAAATAGGGTGATAAACAACAGCACATAAATCGCAATTGCATTGAAGAATAGGCTCACAACATAAATAACTTTGGGACAATTGCAAGTCAAAATTGAAAATCAATAAAGTATCTCACTTGATCTAGAATCTCCTCTGCCAGGTGTTCAATGCGTAATACTCTACCAACAAATGGAACATAACGTTTATGCCACTCGAGGTCATGCTTCTTGTCCAACTTTAATCCATCGTCAATGAGTACAGCTGAGATATTTGCAGTTTTGAAGCATACTGAGCTAATGAATTCTAACCCTGAGGATCTGCGATATTCTTCAACAGCTTGCAAAGTTGATTCACAGCCATACAGTTCAGCAATATTCCTCAAATTCCTCTGCATTAACATAACAAACGCAATTCAATACAAAATTGAAGGCTACCAAATAAGAATACAACATCAGAAAATAAGAAGAAACACAATAATCATAATTGTATTTCACTAATTCGACAGTTAGAAACTACATAATATAATAATCCACACAGCTATCCAACCTCATAAACACGTGAATTCATAACAACAGTATATGACTCCTTATCTACTGTCGTAAAATAACAAAGCAACCAAGTCAACCCTCTAGATAGAAACATGGTATAATCATTTTACACAGTTAAAGCATATAATCCGAAACCAGATCGAGCAAGTCCTTTACAATAGCCAAATTTTACTTCAACAAAGTGTTTGATCTATATCTTTTAACTAAAACCGACTAGAAGTAGTCATAAACATATAGCAAAGAAACAATGAATAATGAATGAAGTTGAGTGTACAAATAGCAAGGACCTTGAAGGAGAGGGAGTGAGGAGCATCAGACAAGGCGTCACCCTGCGCTTCAGAGAAGGAATTGATGAAAGGAAAGGCGGAGTCGAGGGCCACAAGACTGTGAGCATGGCCGTCCACTAGCTGAACCTTCTCTATGGCTTCTCGTAGCTCTGAAAAGTCCATGGCTCCCAAAGTCTTGATAGTTTCAGAGAGTCAAACGGTGTGTTGTGACTTGTGCGAATTTAAGTTTAGTGTTTAATGAATCATGAATGTAACATTGCAGGTGCAGCAGGGAAGACTAAGGGACAATTAATATAAATATTTAAAGCCATTCTTTAATTGCTAAATCTCGCGTCATGTCCTCGACTCTGACAATTTTGAATTTCTGCTCCCGCTGATGTATGAAACCAAAGAGCCTAATCCACCTAATTTCTGCCGGCATTGTCAACTGAGCAATGCTGTATTTATCCAAAAAAAAAATACACCCAATTCATGCAGATATACGTGGTACCATCATTTTTTCTTAAAAAAATTTTATAATTAATGGATGATCAAGATAGTGTCACATCTGTTGGTGTGTGAATTCGGTGTATTTTTTCGATAACTATATCATTTTTCTTGTCAACCAGGGTGCACAAATCCCGTTCGGTTTCGCCAAATAGAATTAAGAAAAAATTTCCAACAAAATGGAACCGTACCATACCTTTTAGATTTTGATAAAACACCCCAACCTATAAAGTTTAAATTTTAACAAAATCACCCCCACCAGGCACCCACCCAAGCCACTGCCAGTTGTCAGTCACCACCGTCGATTGTGGTTGACAGTGGTCGAAACGATGCATGATTAGCTGGATCTGGTTGGTAGTGCGTCGATCAGGCTGATTTCAGCTAGATCTATAGCGATCTAGCTGTTTTCGATCGGAAACAGCCAGATCGAAGTACAACTAGCCGATCATGTCAATCAAAGACCGACGGTGGTGGCCAGCAGTGGCGGTTGACAATCCTCTTGGGTGGCTTGTAAATTGTTTTAAAATCAAGGGTATTACTGTCCAAAAATCTAATTAGTTAGGAGTAAAATTATAATGGCATGGTTCATGTAAATTAATTTCAAAACAAGGGAATTACTGTCCAAAAATTTTAATAGTTAGGGTTAAAATTGTAATAAAAATAAGATTACCAAATAATCTCATAATACATAAAAAAAAATGGTGGTATTCATATTATCACTAATATAACCAATAATAATTACTATTTGTTTTAAAAGATTATCGGAATCTTATATTACTTAACAACTAAACATTGGTAATATAGGTGCGTTTGGTTAAGAGAATGTTATATTAATGGAAATATAGATTACCTTGAAGATTATTGGGAATATTTAGAGAAATATGTTTGGTTGGTTTGAATAAATTGGTGGGTATGTTATATTAATATATTTGGTTATGAGGAATAAATTGGTGGGTACATTATACAAATTCCTAAATTGCCCTCCTTTTTATATATTAATATAATATTATTTATATTATTATTTTTTGAATCATCTCTTTTAACCCCCTACATTTCAGATTCAGCTAAAACACCACAGCAACAAAAAAAGTTTAAAACTTAACAAAAACACCCCAACCACCTTCCTAAGACTACCGGCCGCTAGCTACCACAGTTGATCGCCGCTAGCAGTCGCTCGAACGATGCATGGTGGACCGTATATGGCCAGTCGTGCGCTGTTAAGGATGTTTCCAACCATCTGGCCATGGATCTGTGATCCAAAGCCGAAAATGATAAGATGTGGCCATTTCACGACCACAGATCTACCCAAAAATGGCCTTATCAGAGCATGGTTGACCAGATCTGACTAGCCATGAGCCGTTTCGGTGACTGTCGGTGGCGGCTAGTGGTCGGCAGTCCTCTTGGGTGGCTGGGGTGGTGGCTATTGTCTTGGGTAATTTAGTTGAAGTACAAGGGTAATTATGTCTTAAAAATCTTGAGTATATGGCTAAAATTGTCCATAAATTTATTGTAAATTTTTAGATCAAGGTTTTAAAACCCGGCTTGGCCCGACCGGTTTAACCGATCAAACCAAAAACCGGCGGCTTAGCTGAGTCGGTCAGGGTAGAAAACCGAGAATAACAGTTAACTCAAAACCAGGTTAACTCAAATTCCTAAATTATAAAATTCAAATCCCTTTTACAATTTTCAATTAAAGACATGAGGCTAATCAACGAAAAAAAAAAATTAAGACTAATCAACAAAGCCACTCGAAGAAGAGAGAGAATTAACTCGAAGAAGAGGAGAAAAAACAAGTGAGAGTGTGAGACGAGTTGAAACCCTAGGTCGTTGCTGCTGTGGTGCGATGGTAGTGAAGAATGGTAGGGGCGCATATAATAGTGGCAACACACAACCATTGTTTTAAAAACCAGACCGGACCGACCGGTCGAACCGGTTCAACCGGGAACCAACTATGACTCCAGTCCGGCTTACTATATCAACTGTAATATATTCAAAACCGTTTTGGACCGGTAACAGACTAGAGGAATAGTGTTAAACCGCCGGTCCGACCGGACCGTTTCTTAAACTGGTCCACTAATTGAAACCTACAATAATCCTAAAACAATCGCATTCCCAAATGCATCTTCATTTCATTCTTTATTTCATTTCAATCGAGCTTCATCCTTCACTGATTTTGCTCCAAATCGCATCTTCTTCAACTTCAAACAAAGATCAAAGTGAAGAAACTCTAAAGTCTAAAGAAGATCGAAATCGATTCTTCTTCATTTTCTTCAACTTCAATGGCAAGCGAAACTCGGACAAAACATGTACTTCTTTGTCTTCTTCACTGATTTTGTAGGTTTATTCTCTTTTCCTTCAACTAAAATGCTTTTTTACTTTGCTCTTTATCCTGAAGTTCGTCTTCTTTTGCATTTAGTTAGCATTTTTAGCTGTTTTATTTGTTGTTCTTTACAAATATTTGATTACAGAATACAGATTACAAAAGCAGTTGAAGAGATTTTGCAAATATCTAAATATCTGAAGTTACAACTTACAAGGTCAGATGAATTTCGAGGATACGAATTAGATATTTAGATTGTTGGGTCTGGTGATTGGTGGCTAGTTTGCGTGAATATTTCCCTTTTATAGATTTAGAAATTTAGATTGTTGGGTCTGGTGAGTGGTGGCTCATTTGTGTGAATATTGCCCTTTTATTGTTTGTTATATTGTCTGTGTGTATGTGCTTATGTTGTTTTTCGGCATAAGGTATTCAAAGAGTTAAACTTTATTTTGCAAATGTTGTTCATTCTGGAATATATTGCAAATGATTTTGTTATTAATTATAATGTGACTTTTTTTTTCGGTTATTTAATTTGTAATCAGAGGAAAACAGCGTGACATTGGGGTTGTTTTTTAATTTGCGGCAAAGCTCCATTCCTTGCTTTGAGTTTTTCTTCAAGCAATGCCAACACTTGCCTCTCCATTTCAATGCCTGGAAATTCATCATCAGATGTCTCCTTGAAACTGTCAACCGGCAATGGAGAAGAAACAGATCACCAACACCAAAGTGGTGGAAGAGTGGAATCCCAACTGAATTGGGCCACAAATCAGGTGGCTTCAATGGGAGGCTCTGCGATCCTCCACATCTAATTCTTCGCCAACAAGCGTTCTTCATCAGTTGCCCAGGAGCTCTACCTCTGAGGCTAGCTTCGTTAGCACCTGAATTTAATTGTTTTTTTTTAACTGAAATAATCTGGTTTGAATTTTCTTTTTGATAATCGTCTCTTGTATAAATAGTGTGCATGGTTGTTATTTAATTTCTTAATTAAAAGTTCGCCTTTTATTGAAGACAGAGATTTATATATAGAAATTATAAATACAGTGCAATCTCTACTGTATGTCCAAGAAAAACTTAACACATAAATAATTTGAATCATGTTGGATAGTAATTAAGTTGTTATTGTCTATTTGTCTTATTAAAAAATGGAAATATTTAAAAAAAAAAAAAAGGTTTTTTTAAATGTGTTGATGTCATCATGCTGTATGATGACGTCACCGATCCAACCGACGGTCCAACCGGTCGAACCATGACCCGAGCAGCAAAGTGGATTGCCCTCCGGTCTGGGTTTTAAAACAATGCACACAACTAATAACAGAGAAGAAAATGAGGATTTTGTCAAAAAAGAAGAGTGAATGTGTTTGTGTGTTTTGGTGTAATCAAGAAGGATCTCGTTGTTGCATAGCTTCGGTCGGAGCAACGTGCCATCGGACGTTCAAGAGGCAGTCTCACAATCGGGCATGAGTGTTAGGAAGTTCCCCATACAGAACCGAAACTTGTGGATATAATCAAAACCGAAACTAGAACAAATACTGTGTGGATAGGTTTTGGTTCCATTTTATTGAAACCGACATTGTGCAATTCCGGTTTCGGTTTCGATCTACAGGTTTCGAAACCGAAACCTGGGAAAAGAATCTGAAGCGGGTACCCTGCTTGAAACCTGTTTGTGTTTTGGTTTTGATTTAGAAATTTTATGTAAATTGTGATGAATTGATTGAATTCAAGTATTGCCTAGAGATTAGAAGATTTATGAGTCACATTGGACACAAATGAATGAGTAATCAAAAGTTGAAAACTACTAAATGTGGGTTTTCTTAATTTGTTTGGGGTGTATTTGTAAACTTTTAAGGTATTTTTATCATTTTTTAAACTAATAGGAGGGTAATTGATTTTTTATAGGATACCCGGATAAGGAACCAAAACCTACATTTCAAGTTTCGGTTCCTTAAATTTAAGAACCGGAACTGACAAGTTCCAGTTCTGGTTCCTTTTTTTTGGGAATCTTCATTGTACGATTCTAGTTTCGGTTCCCCTAAAAAATGTAAGGTACCCGGAACTGCTCACCCCTAGAGATAAAGAAGGAGAATTAGACACATCAGAAAACATTGATTTAGTGATGAGGATAAAGAAGATGGCGTCACTGATATGACCCGTCGATCGAACCGGTTCAATCGGTCAATCCGAGACCTAGGTCATTAACCGGTTTGGTTTTTAAAATATTGGTTTAGATAACAAGAACATTACTATCCTAAAATTTTATTAATAAGAGAAAAAATTATAACAAAAATAAGATTACCAAATAATCTTAAAATACCTAAGAAAATAGAAGTAATCAAATTACCTTTTATATAACCAATAGTAATTACCATTGATTTTGAAAAATGAACGAAATCTTATATTATTTGACAACCAAATGTGGTAATCAAGTAATATAAGATGTCATTACCTCATCAATTAGGGATTATCCCCAACCAAAGAAACATGCCCTTCAAGTAAAATCTTTTGTACCAAACTCAAGACTTCACAGGCTTTAATAAGTTAGTAAGACTGAACATGCTAAACCAAAAAAAAAAAAAAAAAACAAAAACAAACAAACAAACAAACAAACAAACAAGCAAACAAATAAACAAAACAAAACAAATGTGTATTTTATCGTGAATGCAATGGGTTAGTTCACAATTTACACAAAGTAAAGCATTTTTACCTACAATGACAAACATAACAAGCCCACACAGAATTTGGGAGTCCTATTTTTGACGACACACTGGATCTCGCATCAGAACCATATTAACTTAAATCTAATCACCGAAATCATGCTTTCAAGAAACAAATTTTTGAAACCAGGAAGTGGGTGCAATTATCATCCCTATCTTTCAGGAAGAGGACTCTGCCGGGCCATCAGGAAGACGCTCTGACAGTAATGAATTTCCCTTGTCATCTGCTGACGGTACAGCTTTAGGGGCTTTTAGTGCACCTCCAAGTTTCTGCTGCTCCTCTATGATCTTCTCCAAGTATTTCCCCTGAGCTTCTATTCTTATTTGCAACTGTTTTTGCACCTGATACAAGTGAACCAAAATTTATTACGGTTTCATTTACATGAAGGCAAGCAAAATGTCCAGAAGAAATCCAATTCTATATTTAACCCTGTTTATGTTCTTTCTTTCAATAACTTGGAAATTGATTCCCCAATTCAACCTAAAAAAAGAAGCATGAAACCGAACCTCGAGCTGCTCGTGAAGACGTTTTTGAACCTCCATTTGTATCCTCAATGCTTCATTAACTTGCGGTCTCCTGAAGAAGACACGGTTTCCAAAATGTTACACTTAGCATCAGATCTAAACTTTTCCTTCAGAAATGAGAACATAAGTGAGAGCCATGGGCCAACGAATTTAAGAAGATGCAATGTTTCTGGAAGAGAACAAAGGTAAACACGGAGAAGAATCCACACCAGACAGGCTCTCTCCGGAGACTTTCTTCTCCTTAGAATGTACAGTTTAAGAAACAATTCCCTCCAACTTCAAAATTAAAAGTTTGAATGTAAAAAAAAGTCAAATAAAAAGTGACAAAAAACCAGTGAAATAAGTAACTATGTAAAACAAAAAGGGGTACTTTACCTTTAGCAGGAGATTCTGGCGACAACTTTGCAAGATGATACTTTTACAACAAAAATGAAGAGAAATTGCAATCCTATCAGAAATCAGATACATCAACATCAGTAGTTGCACATTTTTGTACTTAAGAGTCTAGTTGCATCCAGATGATAGCACCTGTAAATGGCTATTCATATGAAAATGGTCAGTCCAGGTACACCCATCACTTTTAAAACTCCTTTAGGTGTTGCTCCTAGTTATATTGGAAAAGGTTAATCGTTGTCAACAAAATTGAGCCAAATAGAAATTATCAATTTTACAAAAGTGAAAACCTTTCAATGACCTTTATAATTTTGAACAGCCTCATTCACATTAAGAAGTAATAGACATCAAATCCAAATAGAACATCCATCCTTCACTCCTGATGTAAACTAACTCTTTATACATTTGAAAATCTCCATAAAAATTCCTCATAGCTGAAATTATGTTAGCGTTGAAGCTAAGAATCTAGTACAAGCCAAACGAGATGGTTTGGATATATAGTTTTAATGAACTGCCATGAACTTCACAAAATACTTATGAGTTTTTGGATAACAAATTCAACCCAAATATAAGCCATATTGAATATTGAGTTTTTTTTTGCTCCTAACAACTAAAAAGAATTGAAAAAAGGGACTTGTATGTTTACAACCGGAGAGAGGTTTACACATGCATAAAGGAGTTACTTCAGCCAACATTCACACTACAAATCAATAAATAAAACAGTTCTAAGCAAATTTCAGAGATCAGAGACAGTAGCCAGAAACAGCCCAACAAGGCGTGCAATGAGTCTAGTATAATGTTGTAGATATATATTAAAGTCAAGTGCTATACAAAGAACAAATCTTTTAAATTATCATAGGCCTAGACACCAAATTCTTCATAATACCTTAATTAGCATACAAATATTTATTGACTAGAGAAAAATACATTTCTCATGTGCCACCTCTTATTATAATCAAATAAATAAATAAAAAGCTAGATGATCACAATTTTAAATAGAAATACTCACTCTCTGGTCAAACAAGTTGCATAATAGCATCCACAAAACAGTCATGAAGATCAGAAGACCACTGCAACTGCTGCCTCCCAGATCCACCACCAGAAGGTGAAACTATAACTGCATTTTTTTCAAGCTGCTCAACACCTTGAGGGTTTATGTTGCACTAAGCTTGCAGATGAAAATTTCTTCAAATGAAACATGTTGCATAGACTACAACTCAAACATACTCAGAAAAAATATATATACAAGATTCTGCTCGTGAGCAAATATGTATAAGATTCTGCTCTTGAGCTCCCACAAAATTTAGGGTGTAATTGGTATCATTTTCAAAACTGTTTTCTGTTTTTAAAATCCAAAAACCGATGAAAGAAAAAATTCTTTAATATATATGAAACAAATGATCTGAAAACACAATTGGTTAAGCTCGTTATTAAATTTAAAAATATTTTAACTTTTTTTTTTTTTTTTTGTGTGTGTGTGTGTGTGTGTGTGTGTGTGAAAGAAGACAACAAAGATATCACCATCTGCTAAAAATTCATACTAATAATCCAGATATCACTTGTACATGCTTTGCAAATCTGTTAGGATCCCACATTAGAAGGGAAAAAGGTGGGCATGTGGGTTATAAAGGGGCTTGGGCACCCTCCTTTGACAAGTCGGTTTTCCAAAGAAAGTTCTACCCAGACCCACAAAAGGCCCACTGCCCAGCCCAATTGTTTGAGTTGTTAGATGGGTATCTATCAAATGGTATTAAAGCCAAACCCCGCTCAAACCCATGTTCCGGAAAGGGCTACCTAGGAAGGGGCAACCTGGGAGAATAGGCCATCCAGAGCGAAGCCGTCCAGAGTGGGCCAACGTGCATGTTGGGTCTCAAAGCGCGGGGGAATGTTAGGATCCCACATTGGAAAGGAAAAAGGTGCGCATGTGGGTTGTAAAGGGGCTTGGGCACCCTCACTTGGCAAGCCGGTTTTCCAAAGAGAGTTCTACCCAGACCCATAAAAAGCCCACTGCCCAACCCAATTGTTTGAGTTGTTAGATGGGTATCTATCAAAACCCGAATACAAAAACTTGAGCTTCCGCTGAACCTCACGATTTTTCGGGTAGGCCAGACCATCTGGCTAACCCTAGTAGGTATCTTGTATCTTTTTTTGTTTCTGAAAGCCAAGATTCAAAAACAGAAGAAAACTCTTTTCCTATTTCTTCAAAGACTCTTTCGAGTACAATTACCAGATGTGTTTTTACTTCTTTTGTTCTGTAGAGAAAAAATAAAACATTTTGAAGATACCAGATTCATCCATTCTTGATTCAAATTCTTAATCAAAATTATGTTTCAACTCTTGCAAAAAGGGACCAGCAGAACCAACTACCGAACTAATATTCATATAAATCCTTTACATCTAATCGACAATAAAAATAAAAATAAAAACACTCTCCACCACAGGTTGTTTGTTTCCCTTAAAAGACATTTCCAGTTTCCAAATTAGCTACAAAAGCATACTCATATCTCAAAAAGAAAATTCAGTTACTCTGTTTCCCAATAACACCACAACTTGTTTGTTTCTCTTAAGCGACAAGCATCAAGTGATATAATAATCTCATATATATGCTGGTAGTTTTGCTTCATCTATTATCAACAAATCAAAGTAGATGGACAAATTCATGTAATTCTATGAAAATACGAACTTAAAAAATAAAAGAGGGAGAGTTAAGAGAATGGTACCCGAAAAGCCAGAGAGAGGAATGGAGTGACAGAGATTTGGGATTGGAGACTGTGATAGTAATTCTAGCGAAGTTTTTCAAAGAGAGAGAGAGAGCTTTAAATAGAAGGCAGTGCGTATTTATTTGTAGAGCTCTAAACTTTACTCTGTTACTGGCAGTTTGGTCCGTCTGGTTGGTCAAGGGTCAACCTTTCGAGACTGGTAGCCACTCGTTCGCCAATTTAAGAATTTACTGTGGATTTGCAAATGACTGAATGAGTAAAGCTTTTTCCACCCGCGTAATGGTTTAGTAGCATTTATTTATCCACCGATTTTTTAAATATTATTTTATTATCTAAATTTATATTCTATTTTCGATTCCGATATCGTTGCGATCTTAAATCACTACTATTATCTTCTTCTATCATCACTCACCAAAACCCTACTTCTATTGACCAACCCTACTTCTATCGACCCCACCAATCGTCGACAATCTAACAATTAGAGTTTGTGCAACCGTCTCTCCCAAGCTAAATTCTGATAAATTCCAACAACTAAAATCCAACCTTCTATATCAAAAGACTCAATGGTTTCCCCTCGTCAAAAGCCCCAACAACATGTAATAAGTTTACTTTCTGTTCGCCGCCGAAATATAAATTTAGATAATAAAGTGGTATTTTAAAAGTTTGTGGTTGAAAAAGTGTCATTAAACCATTATTTGGGTGAAAAAAAATTGATTAACTCTTTTACAAGTACCTCACTTTTCTTTTTCTTTTTTCTTTTTTATTTTACTGTCTAGAATATTATTTACGCCTTACAAAAATTTATTGACATTCAAATTTTTAAGTACCTCATTATTAAAATTTAGAAAATTTCTAGTTGATTTTTTATTCGTCATTTTATTAAAAAATATCATAACAAAAATCAAAATTTTGAATTATATACTACTACTTTTAATAACTAAAATAATGCTTAATATAATATGTAAAAATAAATTTCAGATTAAAAGTTAGGGTTTCTAATAAGATAACCAATTTTCTGGGGGCTTTTATAATTAACCAAAGTCTTGAAGCCTATACTCATTTCACTTAAAGTCGGGTGGACCGAGCCATGTCATGCCGTATGGTGCCTAAAAATTCAAGGTCTATCATGCCGTAGGTCATGTGGTACTAAGGCCCGCATAAATTCTTGACTTGTCGTGCTGTGTCGGATTGCCAGATCTAAAAGACCACGGCATGACGCACTATATACGTGTCGTGCCATAGGCCTAGCACGCCGGATGACTCGTGTGCTTTGTGGGTCAGCCTACAAATTTTTTAAAATTATTTATAAAGTATGGTAATTTTGATTTATTATAAAATATTTTTATATGTTATATTTAGTGACATTTTGTATTTGTATTAATTAAAAAATATATATATAATCACTATGAAATATAATAAAATAATGAAACATTGAAATATTAATTGAATTTCAACATTTTTTATTACTTATAATTATAAATTACAAGTACAATCTTAAAAATTAGGATTAAGAATTAACATTAACAATTAGATCTCCATCAGAAATACAAGTATACAAATACAATATAACCCATCTCAAATTTGATTCTAGTTTACAAATATTCAAAGTAAATGATTGACCAAAAAAAAAAAAAAAAAAATCATACAAATATTCAAACAAATTAATGAAAATGAAGATGTATGATATTTTTTTTTATCTATCATTTTTTAATATTTGTAAACTAGAATCAAAGTTGAGATAACTGTATTGTATTTGAATACTTGTATTTCTAATATAGATATAATTGTTAATATTAATTTTTAATCCTAATTTCTAAGTTTGTATTTGTAATTTATAATTATAAATAACAAAAGGTGTTGAAATTCAATTAATATTTCAATGTCTCATTGTTTTATTATATTTCATAATGATTATTGTACGGGTCACAAGTCATCTTGGGTCTTATCAGGCCCAAAAAAGAAACATCTATTACATGGCCCAATGTCATAGCCCAATTCTGATTGGGCCTATTATAAGATGCATGGGTCAGCCCAATACACCAATCAATCTTCTTATGGGTTGGATCATCCAAATTGGGCTTCCCCATTAGTCCACTTGGGCACAAGCCCATTGCTTTGGGATCACTCCAAGGAACCTAGAGTTCCATTCATATCCTAATTCATCTACTTCTTATTTCATCTACATTCTAATTCATCTAAGATCTTGAATCTTTCATGAATTATGACTCCTACACCTCCAAAGGCAAGTAAATCAGGACTTTCCTATTTACCAAAACTCTGCCATTATGAACTTAGAGTTCTACTAGGATTTGAAGATCCTATGTTCATTATATAAACAGAGGTCTAACCTCTTATTAAGCATATGTTATTCAATGTCATCTACTAGCTCCTAAAGTTCTTGCTCCTAATTACTAATACATTTGTCGTAGCTCTAATCTCCAATCAAACTTCGGTAGCGGACTGCCTACGGCAAACACCATATCGGTGTTTCTCGTGAGCTTCATATTTGTTTATTTGTATGTGCAAGTTTAGCAGATTGTCAATGACTTCAACCTCACATGATCAGTTCATTCTGTAACCGTAAATTTTTACCGTCTACAATTATATATATTTTTTCATTAATACAAATACAAAATATAACATATAAAAATATTTTATAATAATTATTAACAATACAAATACAAAATGTCACTAAATATAATATATAAAAATATATATTTTTTTTATAATTTTTTTAGTGGATCGTGTCATGCCAGCGCGCATGCCTTTTTTTAAGGCCGACTCGCATTATTATGGGCCTTGGCATGACACAAAAAAAATTCGTGTCATGCCGAGCTTTTTCTAAGGTGGGCAATGCTGGCACGTGAGCCAACACAGCCCACCACCAGCTCCATACCCATATAACCACCAAATTGCATACTATCGAAAATACCCTCATATAAAAACCAACTTTTCATCCATTTTTCACCATTTAAAAAAAAAAAAAAAAAAAAGGGCCCTAAGGTCACTCTGGTAATATGATAAATGTGTTTAAACTAAGAAAGTAGGGCCCAGCTACATAAAGACAGGAGACTTTTGTTTGGGGTTGTGTTGGGATTTAGCTTGTAAATTAATTAAAGAAAGAATATATTCCTGAGAACATGCTGAAGAGTGAAGACTTTGCACAAGTAAACGTTTGCTTTATTAGTTGTGAAAAACCAAAAAGAATCCTAAGCTCTTTCTTACAGTCGTGTTGTGTGAATATCTACCAAACCGTGTCTTGAAAGCTATACTAATCATTGATTTATATATTTCATCTTATTTTTAATTTTAATTAATTAAGATGATAATATACTCCCCCCATTAAATATATTTGATTAGGAATGGAAGCTTAAAATGAATGCATGAACTGAGTTGTAAGAGTTTAGAGAAGAAAACAAAAAGAAAACAGAGAGAGAGAACGAGAAAGAGATCTGAAAAATTCGTGTATTATCTTTTTTCTACTGTTTGTACTGTAAGTGCACTTTTTATAGTGCTCATAACAGTAACTAACTAGTGCAGTAGTTAACTAACTTAGGTTTAGTAACAAACTAACGCAGTGGGTTAAGCTGAACTTCTACATGACGAACTTTGCTTACTCTTACTAACATTTGGGTTTATAATAAGGCCTTTTGGGTGATGAGTTAGACCCAACTCAAATTCTAACATGGTATCAGAGCCAGCCCCATTTGAGCTGAGTGATTGACCAGCGGTGGGCTGCCAAACTACCTCCATTCATAGGCAAATAGACCATATGAGCTTGACCGTAAGGGGGAGTGTTGAAGATCCCATATCGACTAGACACACTCAAGCCAAGGGGTTTATAAGAGTGGGCAATCCTCTCACTCAATAAGGTCTTTTGGGTGAGAAGTTAGGCCCAACTCAAATTCTATCCATGGGTTTTAATTTGTTTTAAAGTTGGATTAGTATTGAGTAAATCTGGTTCAACCCAACTTAGCTTTATGGCTGCAGGGATATTAGCTTGTAAGAAAAAAAAATGGTAATGGCTTCAAAATTAATTCAACCAAATTAGAATTAACCATGATCATAGGAGGAAATTGAAATCAGACAGGTTGGATGATACATTTTGAGAGAAATGTACAGTTGGAAATTTGCAATTTCTTGCTAAACGTAAACGGCTAGTTTTTTTAAAATTTCTTCTATAATGTGCAATCGTGCTTTCAAAGCTACTTGGCTATATCCATGAAAAGGGAATCTCAATTCACAATCACCTTTTTCTTTTTTTTCTTTTTTTCTTTTTTTTTTTTAAATGGATGAAAAGTTGGTTTTTATATGGGGATATTTTCGATAGTATGCGATTAAAGTTGGCATTTGTGTTTGGAGGAGAAAATCAAAATCATTCATTTCATGTGATTGGAGTGAATAATAAACATCACGTTATTTCTTAACCCCTAAATCTTACAACAATACTCTCATTAATAATAAATAAATAGAATATCAATACGCAATCATTCTTAACTTAAAATTATAAAAATGATAACATGCAAGGATATAAGGATTTAAAGTAAGGAACAATCATGTTACTTGGATATAATGATTTTCTTGTTCAATATTGTGTTTATGGTGAGAGTTGTAAATGAGAGTTTCAATGGCTAGGGTTTTGCTTAGTCTTGGCAGGTTAAGATGAGGGTAAATGGTATTAAACTAAGTTGGTTACGTTGGTATAAGCTTTAGGATTTTAGCTAATCACCAAAAAACCCCCAAAATTAGTTATTTTATGAAAACCTAAAGTTATGAGAATTTGAGAAAATGGCTATTTTTAATTTTTTTTTTTTTTAATTTAATTCAAGCTTGAAAATATATTAGAAATATTATAATCAATTTCAGTCAGAAGCTTTTCTTGAAGAGTTTTTTATCTATTTTTCCAAAAAAAAAAAAAAAAAATATATTAAAGTTCTATACCAAATAGTTTTACTGACATGTTTTGTCCATTCGAACAACTTTGAAGTGTCCATGTTATGGAATTTATCTCTAGCATTTTTATGTTTTTTTTTTTTTTTTTTTTTTTTACGAGCCCTAAAGTTGACAACCAGCTAAGTCTCTCAGTGTATCCTTATTTGGT